TTTACTAACAAAAAATTAAATATATTAAAATACAGGAAAGTTATATTATAAAATTAGAAGGTTTCACTTTATTTTCCTCCAGTAAATTATAATTAAACCGGGAACTAACGAACCTTAATATTGGTCGGTATGTCTCCCTCTTGAATTGTGTACAATATTTTAATCGAAGTCGAAACCAAACATGAGAAAATAATATTCCACACATTTGACTTATTTTTAGAATCATCTCTCGAGATGTAGCACTCGCTCGGTAGTACCTTGTGAGAATCAACGTGTCCTATTCCTTTGATATGTAGTTATTCGTTTCAAAAATTAATTTAACCAGGTAACCCATACTATCGGTTTAACTCATATAGTATCTCCAATCTTGCAAATATTAATATTAATAATATAGTCCTTTTAAAATGTATAATTTTATCCGAGATTAGATAAATCAGTGTCCCTGTTTAAGATGCAACGATGATCCATTTATTGTTGTATGTTTTCTAATGTTACGCGACACGCGCTAACGTCCGGTTAATTTTCTGCGATTCAACCGTGACGAATGAGTCCGAAGTTCACATTCCTTCGCAACGTTTCAGTCCGAGCGTTCTCTGACGTAGCGATAGATATTTTTACTATGGAGACGCAGCTCGTATTTAGATAATAAATCTGTGAGACGGATCGAAATAAGTCTCTTCGTAACATACTTCGCGGTAAGCTTCCGTGAGCCCCTTTAATACTAGAACTACCGACGATAAACGCAATTCAAAACTTTTGAAAATTTAGAAATTTAGACATTGACTAATTTCTTCACTTTCATATCGTAATAAAAGGTGCAAAAGATCTGAGAAAATCTATTCTCACAACATATTGTCATTTTAATCGTCGTTGTAAGAGTCTATTGACAAGTCATTTTGATTTGCTTGGTAGTTCTAGTGTTAACACTAAAAACCTAATCAAATCATTTGAAACCTATCAATCATTTGAAACCTATCAAAATGACGGGATTTTGATCTGTCATTTTGCAATTAGTAAAATTATTTAGGTACTTTCGTGGGCATTCAGGTCGACATTCAATTTGTTATATATTTTACATTACACTATATTATGTTATACTGTATTCTACAGGGTATAATAAAAATGTTGCAGGTCCTTGAAAGCGGTCTCTCGTGGGGTGATTTGGAACAACTTTTTCTTTAGCAAAAATGTTATCCGAGGCTTTGTTAACGAGATATTAATAAAAAGAACCCCGATCAATCAGAGTTCAGCTGGCATACTTGCGCTCTGATTGGCCGTGGTTTTTTGTTAATATCTCTGTTCGCGCCCGCAATGATTCCGAATGTTGGAGATGCACCGAATGTAGAACGTACCGAATGGTTACACAAACTCGGACAGTAAATGAGGAACTTGGTTCAACAAAAATAGTGGACTGTATTTAATATGTAACAAAACTTGGACGCGTGAATATTCAGGGGCTGTCCCTGCTCAAGAAACCAAGACTGACTTGTACACACACAAGCACCAGTTTGGTTCTATCAGTCACACTGACTGTTCAAAATGAGATTGATCTTTCTCCCTTGGAGTCCTGATTGAATCTGCTACAAGTTTGTAAGACTGAAGGCCTCCTCGGTGAAGCGCCTTGCCCCCCACTCTCACAGTCCGCCCTCAGCGCACCTCTTCGTGGGGGTGGAAATGTAAAATGCCCGCTAAGGTGGACGACAGTTTGGCAACCTTGGGGACTTTCCTCCAGGTACCGTACGCGAGGCTCCCTGCGAGCCGAAGCGCGAACAACAGCGTCCCGATACCCTTCGGAAAGCCCTGGTTTATGACATGGACCGTTAACTAATTTGGCGCGAGGGTGACTAAAAACTGCTGGTAGTATAAAATAATATTGTACCGTGCACATTTGGCGACCAAATGTGCAGGACAAAGCCTTTACAAATCTTCGCTCGCCTCGTCGATGCCATAAACCAATTCCTGGAACACGGTGTTCCAGAACAATCTCGTTAACAATCGAAGGTTTCGGATAACATTTTTGCTAAGGAAAAGCTTGTTCCAAATCACCCCCACGAGTGACCCATTTCGAGGACCAGCAACATTTTTGTTACACCCTGTTTAACTTGGTGTCGCCTTGGAATAACTTGGAATAAGACTTGTCATTGTATTGTAATCGTGATTCGGCCGTCTTTTATCCAATGAAAAGAGGAAATTATATACGTCCGTCTGGACAAGGGTGAACGCTGGCGCCTGACCAAGGTCACGGATAAAGAAATTGCGTCTGCCCGAGTGTTCGATGACCCCTTTTTGTGTCCACGCTTGAAATATCTTCCATAGAATCGACCTTCGTATCACTATACACAAAAAAAACGCTCATTCCCACAATATCGAAGGTGACCAATTTTCTGCACTACGCATCGGGAGTACGTGATTATCTGACTGCAGAATTTGTATGTAAATTATTAACAATTAGTTGTTTTGAAATTTTGTTCCTACCGATACACACGACAACTAAAATCGTTATAAAATGTGTCTAAATTTTTTTTGCTAAGAACATAAAACTTCATCAACTCATGCACTAAAATATGCAAGTTTCCTGTAAAAGGACAGAAATGGGTAATATTATCTCTGGCAAAAAGTACAGGATCATAGATATTAAAATAGTGATAGACAGCGAATAATTGAGTGCTTTTCCTTATATAAAATATTGATAGAAGAATGAATATTTTGGCTTACTTTCAAAAAACAGTATCAGAAAATGAAACAATTGCCGTAGAAAATGTTTAATAATTTTCAGCTTAATAAACCCTCCCGATCATGAAATGAAATTATTTACAGAAAAAAAAATTTACATAGAATTATGTTTTTGAAAATTTTCTTCCTGCCGATATATGGACAACTAAAAACAATATAAAATGTATCTAAATTTTTTTTCGATACTTTTTGTAATTTACGAGTTACAAGGGAATAACTAAAATGGACGCTTTGGATAAAAAGGGTGGTGCCTCCCTCAAAGTCTAAAACTAGCACCAACCGAAAGTGCGATGAAATTCTTAGGTTTTGTCCCATAAACAGTCGTGCAAACTTGCAGAAAAATCGGCGTGTATCATTTCGTTGACATCCCTTGTTAGAAATGATAACAGTAACAGTCGAAGAATAATAGAAAAAAACGGATTCATGTCCAAAACGGAATCGAAAGAATCATCTTTTCCTATTTCGCAGCCAGCGGCTAGTGTCCAGGAATGAGCAAACGAAACCATTCCTTGTAAATACCGTTCCGTGACTAATACACACGCGATTGCCAAATCGCTCGGTCGTACTGTTACGATGAAAATCTTCCTGTTTCGATGGACAAGTGTCGGCCGCGTGTCGTTGACACTGATGTCGCAACGCGTTGTTCCCGCATTTCTCGCTAGGTTCTTTCTGGCGCTCGTAAAACGGCAGAGTGTTCACGGTGTTCGTTGAGTCGCATTTTCATGCACGTGCCACGCGCGAACCTCGAGTCTTCGATAAAACGCATTTAACCCCTTACACTCGAGAGGCGACTCTCAGTCGCCGTATAATTTAACGTGGTAACACGAGGAACAAGTGGGAAGCGACAGTAACCTTGCAGAGTCCTTCCTTAAAGATCACAGCAAGAATAAGTGCAAGGCATGGAATTTAAATATTATATTTTCAAACACAGATGTTTGAGTAAAAAATAAGAAAATGTATTAAACATTGGAATGTTTGGAAAAAGAATATATTATTTTTTTATATGTTTATTCCAAAAGATTTCGTCGAGTTTTTCAATCTTTACTGGGAATACAAACTTCGAATTGCTAGCTTCCCCTATCTGAATCAGCTTTGAATGCCAAGGGTTAGATCAGAGAAAAAAGTAATTGTAAGCCATGAAATTCAAATATTATACCTTTAAACACACACATTGAAATTAAAGATATGAAAAAATAGATTAAATATTGAAATTTTGGAAGAGAATATATTATTTTTTTATTTGATTATTTCAAAAGATTTCGTCGAGTTTTCAATTCTTTATTGCTGAAAGAAGCTTAGAATTGCTAGCTTCCCCTATTTAAATCAGTTTTGAGTGCAGAGGGTTAGAAATACGCAGATAGTATATGTATCATATAAAATAATATTTTACACAGTAAAATTACATGTTAACCCTTATTCGTCCCTTGTAACAATTAGACACATTTTTCTCCTAAGCAATGATATTGTTCTGTCATATGTAGGTGATTTAGCTGAAGCTCTGTGACTTTTATTTTAAAGAATTTTGAAACTTACCTATTTGTCTCTCCATTGCATTAATTTTTTACCACTGTGTGAATTCGACCCCTAGGGACAAATTATAAGTTATAAGGGACAATTATAAGTTGGATTAATTATAAGATTGACAATTATTAAGTTTGGAAAATGACGGTTAACGTCGCGTATGGCCTGTGTCAGAATCGAAATGGTCAATTGATATTTTCATTGTATTTTCAACTAATTAAATAGTCTTCACAAATTTCTATGGGTCGCAAATTATCGATAAAAGTGTGTATTCATAGAATCGTGCTGTCTACTGATAAATTTAAAGGTAAAAGTAAAGAAACTTCCACCCCTAAAAAGCGTATCATTGAAAGGAATGTTTCAAAGATAAATTCCTTAGATTAGAAAAACCATAAAAAGCAACGAGCATGACCGTGTAAATGTTCCCACGAAGCATATCGCGGAATTTCGCGTTCGGGTGACGTATCGACGATAATAATATTAGTGGACACACGTAAAACGTTAGCCTTCATCGAAATAACAGATGAATCGGGGACTGTGAGCAAAGACAAACGGACGTCGAACAGACACGGAAATCACGACGCCTCGCGTCGGTTATTTCAGGCCTGCGCCCGCTATTCCCGTTTGTCCACGTCACGATTTTGGCGTCCGCGGAACGACGAATCGGCGAACGTTCGCACGGCAAATCGTTCTCGACCGGTACCGTGACCGCCTCGCGGATGTCCGCCTCCGGGAAATAAACGAATAACAATGTTCGGAGGAACGGAAGAACGTCAATCGAACGGAATATTAGGTCATGATAGCCACGAAGAAACTAAAAAATTTCGATGAAGATTCCATCATTTTTCCGACAAATATTCGTAAAATGACGAAAAACGACGAATACGAAATCTGTTAGGTTTGATTTATTAATTTCTTGAACGTGATTACTATCGATTGTACGCAGGTAATGTGCTTTATTAGTTATATTATACGGTCTGTAAGTAAATCTCCAAATTTATATTCTTCTAGGGTACTTGTAAGGAAGGATAGAGAGTTATGAACCTTTTAAATACTTAAAATGGAAAAATTAATTTTCCAAATACTTACGAGATTCACATACAATTTATTGTAAGATTATATTATTGTATCGTATATTTTTACCAATTTTTATATTCATAAGGTCCATGTAATGATAACGTTTTGTGGCAGACACAGGAACTTCAGACTTGATGCTTCAACCGAATAAAAATTTGAAAAATTTGATAACGCGCAACTTTACATCGAAGCTCCAATTTGTTATTATTCGCATCATAATTATGAACTTATGTAAAGTGAATATCACTTATTTCTTTAATCGAAGCAGTCGAGTACGTGTGCTTTTGAATACCTTTCTACCGTGTCTGACTAACATTGGCTGTTTCTACTTGTGGATTATAATCATGGTGGCATGGTACACTAACGTTTATGAGAATTGGACCATCCTCAATTGCTCTACTTTATTAAAAAATGTATGAAGTTCAAGAGATATTACAGGGCAAGTTCAGGTTAATTTGAAATGAAAACAATGTATCCCCTTCTTCGATAAGAAGACAAGTACACGATTACTTGTTTTCATTGATTTTGTTGTCTGTTTAGAAGCAAATAATATCATGCTATTGAAATGTTTGTGAAAATTTACGCAAGTAGAAATAAATAGTAATGGACAAACAAATGAGTTAAGAGACTTAAGTGCACATGTATTATACAAATTTTCATGTATGATTTTTTCTAAAAATGATGTTACGTTTCAATTTATTTTTGTAGAAAGTATTATTGTATGTACGTTTATATCATTTGTCTTTACTCACTCTATATACATACAATCTTTCACTATAAATGTGTATACACTGGTGTTCATCTACACGTGTACGATTTATTAATAGATTGCCCATCCTTATATGTTTTTCGCGTATACATTATAAATGTGTAAGTACAAAAAAAAACATGAGCATTAATGAAGGTTAATGGTTTTTTATTGTATTTCTAGCCTAACGGACCTTTTGTTTGGTAGATCAAATTTATCTCTTACATCGACGTTTATAAAATTATTAATGGAAATCTGCACAAAAATCTGTAATTCACTGCTTATTCTTCTTCTATATAGGACTAATGATAAGATACCAAATAAGAGCGTTCGTTCAATTCTCGATATTATCCTCCTGTTTGACGTATTCAACACTTTCATTATAATCTATAGTTAAAATCACTGACATTACACTCTATTTTTGTACTTTCTACCGCATATAGTTCAAGTACAAGGTCGAACAGGACGAATCATTCGAACGCAGTGAACATTATACTTATAAATTTCCTGCAATTCACTTTACTATGAAATGAATTTCAGGATTTGAATAGGATAAAGGAAAAAAATAATTCTTACACAATAAACTCGAGTTATTTAAAATTAGACTCAGAAAACAATCTTATAATTGTGAAATTTGCAGTGTTTAAATGTCACCGTATCAGTAACTGACATTTTGGATTAAATTGACAGGAGAACAAACGTTAAAGCTATTACTGACCTCTTCGGAGTCGGTATGATCGTGATCCATCTCGGTGTCCAGAGAAAGATCTGTCGATCAATAAATGTCCAAAGGAGGGTCGGCTATATTCGTCGAGAAACAAAAATAACGTACTTCTCTTCGGATATTTCGTTTACTAGTTTTTAGAGCGAGCGCTGATCTCGCTAACGGTGACTCTGCGCGGACCACGAAGATTTATTTCTGTTAAAGGAAACACGTGATTTCGTCGACATGCTGTTAGGAAAATTCAAATAGGCGCGCACAGTTTCTGTTTCGACCCGTGGCTGATCCAATGATCGTCCAAATTTTGATGGTATTTGCCACTTACCGTGCCGACGATGAAAACAATCTCGAAAGACTTTCTTCGGTGAAGGGACAAAAAAGTGCATTCAATAGTTTCTTTCGAAATATAACAAACAACTTTACAAAAATCAGTACGAATCTGCTGTTTTGTCTACTATGTCTCGATGAAATGCCTGTCCCTTCTTGTGTGTCCTATCCTATTTGTCTAAATTTTCTTTACACGTACACGGGGTGAGTATTTTATATCGATCGAGAAACGTTTGAAAGAAAAGTTGAATGGTTTCGAAGAGGAAATAGTTTGATGTGAGTAGTTTTTTGTAACTGACGACGTAGGAGACATACAAAGGTCGAATTTGTTATTTAAATGGAATCATACATTTCTTTAATGAAACTAGACCTTTTACTTATATATGCCGAAAAACCATTAGATTGAGATCTAACATATTATATTGAACATCAACTTCAAGAAAATAAACATCGTATTACTAGTATCATTTCGCAATTAAACAATATATGATTCCATTTAAAAATCATATGTGACCTTCATATGTCCTCTACGTGTCCACCTACAGAAAACTGTGTACATCAAATTATCTCCCCCCTCCCAATTCTAAACCTTTCACGTGAAACATTTCGGTATCATCAACGGTTTCGAAGATTTTCGGAAGTTTAATTAAAATGACTCACCCTGTATACAATATGTATACTAACACTAATAATGTCTCGTTCTAATTCTTCCAGGTTCTGTTTCAGAAATCATCATATAAAGACATCTCTTCATCTGAAGATCACATATGAATACCAATAATAATGGCTCCTTCTAATCCTTACAGGTTCTGTTTTAGAAATCATCATACGATGACATCTCTTCATCTGAAGATCTTCATGGGGGCTGCTTCGACTAAAGCAACAACTAGATTCGTTGGGGAAAATGTTGCAAAAAGTACAAAGGGTGGGGGGGTGTAAGCGCGATGGGTGTTGGGTCTCCATTCGCAGCAACGTCCACGTGGTGAGACCTGGGCAATCAAAGGTGGTGAGACCTGGCAACCAAGGCAATGACCTTACACTAAATACTATAGGTAAAGAATAATCACCCTTAATTTATGATTTGTTTTTATTTAACCTGGAATTTTCAAAATATTTTTCATTTATATTTACAGTATAATATAATTTAATAAAAATTGTAAATACGTTATGTCTTAATTTATGAATGTTTTTTAACTCTTTAAAAAACGAAGTATTCAAACTATACTAATTGTATGTTTAATAAGTGATTAAAATTACTATATCTAGTCATGTATCACTATAAAGGGTATTTCCGAAATAATGGTACAACCCGAGAATTAAGTGATTTATATGAAAAAAACAAGTTGAAAATGTAGAATAAAATGTTTTCGTATGATGCTTCGTTTTTGAGATAATCGAATTTAAATACTTACTGGATACATGTGCAATTGAATAGGACTTTGCTAACGCGGTCCGTTAATTTCAGTTCGTTAGATAAATTTTCAAATTCGATTATCTCGAAAACGAAACATCACATAACATCATTTTATTCTACATTTTCGATTTACTTCTGCCTGTAGAATCACTTCTATCAAGCTGTATCATCATTTCGGAAACACCCTGTATATTAAACATACAGAATTTCCATTTGTAGTATTAAATTTGTACAACCATACTTCATATTTCTAAATCAGTGAAAGAAGTATTCACTCGCAATTTATCATTCCACAGACAATTATTTTTGAAAGAAAAATTTATTTCCTTCAAGTTGCTATAAATTTATTTCGTTTTTTCAATTTCTGCTCCTTATGTTCGTAATTAACATTTTCATTTAAATGTTTCCTCTTCCTTGGGGGTTTTGCATTATGTTTTGATGAATGTGTATTAGCGTTACTCTCATTGTTGCCGGTAGAAGAGGACAATGAAACACAAAGTTTTGTAGAAGCTATATGCTGTTGATCTTCCGGCACAGATATATTTGTATTTGTACATATTTGTGAGTCATGGGGCACAGAACATTTGTTTTTCAGTGATTCGTTACATTTAAAATTGTTATATTTTTCATCTTTAGTATTTGCTGATAGTTTCTGTTCGTTATCCATAAATTTATTCAGAATTGGGGCTGGTATCGGAACAGGAATTGGTATAGGTATGGGTACAGGTATAGGATAAGGTACAAGTACTGTAACAGGGGGTAAAAGACTTGTAGGTAATGCATGTATAGAAGCATCAGCTTCGTTAGACTGTACTGAAGCTTCTGTCTTTGATGATACATTGGTTGATTTCTCATATTTTGCTCGACTAGATTCGTTTGTTAAAGATTCAGATGGCAATTGGGTGCCATTTTGGATTGTGGATAGATTTGTAAACCAGTGTGATGATTTTAAAATATTTTCCGATGAACTGTCTTTTTCTTCTTCTTGTAATACTCGTATGTCTTTTATATGTATGTTCTTTTTTAAGAATACATTATTGTTCTCGTGGTTGTACGAATCACAATTCATGGCATCCATCAGGTTACAATTCTTCTTAAAACTCTTACAGCTCAGAAGATTTTGTTTTGAACAGTTTAAACCGCAATGACTCTGATTCTTAACGAAATGACAGAATTTGTTCTTTTCATTTATTAGAGCCTCTTCTTTATTTTGCTCGTTAATGTCATTTTCATTCATTTCTGTATGAAAATTGTTTTTCTTTTCATTATTATAGTTACTGGCTTTGGTACATAGTCGAATACAAAATGCGTCTTTCTTTCTTGCAACTTTTCTAGTAGGTTCTATTGACTTTTGAATTTCATTCTGTTCTGTTTCCTTTGACTTGTTATCGCGACACGACGTCTCGTCGGTACGGACATGCTCATCTGTTGCACGTGTATCTTCTGTGGGGCTGCCCGCCGGTGACTGACAATTTCGAAACCACAGTTCTGGTGTTATTAAATTGCTCTTCTCTGTGTCATGACAAGAAACATTATTTAGACCGTGAAGCATCAAATGAGTTCGTGTCTCATGGCAAAATATATTCATTTTATATTGATTTAAACATTTGTCACTACAAAATTGAAGTTGACTTTCGCCATCCTAAAAAAACACATTAAAGTTAAGAATATGTTCGTGTTAGTAATATTTATTCTAAACCAAGCAATAATAAATTAATTGTTGCTTTATGATTATTATATAATTATACAGGAGTGCCCTACCAACTCTGTCCACCTCAAATATCTCCATTACAGTAAATCCTTGATGAGTATTCAAAGATTCCTTAGCACTGACAAGGAAAGGTTACCAGGTGTAATGCTGATTTTTTAATGAGGTTTAACAGATTGATAGAGCTTGAAGTTCTGAAGCCAATAATATTTGTTTCGGGCGCATACGGCCATTAGTTGAAATATGAAATATTTAATGTTCAGTGGCGAGAAACCTTCAAACACTCATCGAGGATTTACTGGGGGTCGATTTTGTTTGTTTTTATGGTATGACTAATTTTGTTATGGTGACATTCGACAGAATAGTGAATTCCGAGTATGAACCTACGAAAGTATATTTATCCTAAAACTCATAGTCCATTCTGTTAATGTCATTATAAAACTTGAATGTTGTTATCTGCGAACCTTCGAATTCCATGCATATCTTACTGTCTCGGGATATTTTTTTTATTATTTCACAATGTTCTCTATCTACTATTTGTTTATATCCAAAATACTCAGCATAGCTTTACAAATGTTTCATAATGAAAGTAATAGAATTGACACAGTCAAATACCTGAGGTACGTTCAGTTTTGGGATAAATGTACATTAATAATTTTATACTCAGAATTCGTTATTCTATCGAATTTAAAGACAAAATTGATCTCTGGATTCCCTTTATGCCGCCACCCATAAAGAAACTATTGCTACCATATTGTATTTCTGTTGCGACCATACAACTGGTATAAATAATATTTTCGGCTATTACTTAAAAAAATAGAGAATTTACTTATCCAATAAATGTTTCATAATAATTTTCTTAATTTATGTATCATTTTCATCTAGTTGAAATTAATATTTCATAATTACTGTACACACTTGAAAATCAACGTGACTAATCGGATTCCTTATGTGCCTACACCAATCACAGGTTTTTGCCCGTTTAAAAACCGCTCGTCTACCAGCCGCGAAACAAGCTTCGCTACAAAAATGTCCCGCGGTGTTTATCATATTACAGGAAAGAGAATCTATTCTCCCGGAATTACACGTTTGAGTAATTCGACCACACCAAGAACAGGATGTATTATCTGAAAAAAAAAAATGACGTAGACAATTATTATAAAAAGAATGTTACAGCAAGTTCTGTAGATTTTAGGAAACTGAAAATGGCAATGCTAATCCTAGATGCGTTTTAACAATCTATCTTTACTTTACCTGAGCAAGTCGAACTTAAGAAATTCTTATAAGGATGATTAGCCGTAAAGTCAAGTGCTCCCATTTTCAGTGACAATGGAGATGATAGCATTTCTCCTCCCACAGCTGCTAAACTGTTCACAGAGTATGGCAGCGATAAGCTCGAGACATCGAACGGCGAATTAATTGCAGCAAGTGATGCCGATGATTTCGGTTTCATCTTGTTCGAAATAAAGCTCGGATCCACTTGAAGTATTTGACTATTTCTCGCGTGAGGTAGGGACGTGAAATGATCCAAATTCAAACTTCTTGTACAACCACTGTCCACTTTCTCGTAACCATACCATCCTAATAATTCGCTCATTGTAATCGCTGCATATTCCTGTGGTAACGTATCATACAATAGATCATTAGTTGAGATAGTTCACGAATGTTTGACAAGTTGTATGTTAAAGCATATATTCTTATGGATCAGTAATGTGAAAAGTATGTACAGTCTTTCAACTTTAAGCATAGTTTCGAATAACGAAATGTATCTAGAATATTTCTTTAAACGAAGTTCTTGTTGGTACGTTTCACATTATGATTTGTGAAACACGTGGGAAGGCCTATTAGTTCAATTAGTTTCATGATATACACGTAAATATAAAATACGGATTTACCTCTTTATAGTCATATCGCTCGGTGTTTGAGAATTAAAAATGTATTATTATAGTTTCGGAACTATAACGAGGACCTCAAAGTATTTAACGTTATTACATAGGAAGTAACCAATCGTATTTCAACGAGGTCATTCTGTTCTGTGATTCTTTTTATTGAAGGGGGTTACTCTGTGTAAAGGCTTCAAAAACAGGCACCATTTCAAGTTTTTTCTTACGGAACTGGTAAGAGATAATTGAATAGGACCGTCTAGAATCAATTAGGCAGTGTTTTGAGATAAATTTACACTTTATTAACGTAAGAAGGATCGATCTATGACTATATTTGTAAATCTAAAGAAGTACCCTCGTGGTATTGTGAATAACTCCAAAAGTTATGAACCGATTCACTTAAAGATATTTATTTACATTTGTTTTAATCCCTTTGAGAATTTTGAAGACATGCTCTGACAATATCTTTTTTCTAATAATCACCAATTTCGAAACATGAACGAACTAAAAAGATCGTCCATATATAGGGACAACTTCGAGGAAAATATTACAAAATTTAATTAGGGGGAATAACTTCCTTTCCAGTTCTACCACCCTGGACGGACCACGCGGGATAGGTCATGTTGAATGCCTCCGAATTGTAAAAATACCTACATCTTTTTGAGGAAGGATGCTTAACAAAGGAGGTTAACATTACAAATGAGTAAATTGATCTCTAACATTAAAAGGTATGTAATCATAATCAAAAACGATCCGACAGTGTTGCGTTGCAGGCTATTATAATTCTAAATAAATCAAGCGGGCTAGAGTAACATGAAACTCGTTACTTCTATTACATTATACGCATACTATATAGGAAATTCTAAGAGATAAAGTATATGCAGTATTTCTAAAACAGACTCATGATTTAGTGAGATGATCTGCTATAATATAAAAATGTCTCATCTATATTTTCTATAAAATATTTGCCTCGTATTATTAAAGTTGAAAATTAAAATTACAATGTAAATTCTATACTTCCAAGGTTTGTGGTCATAATATTCATAATTTGATATGTGCTTCGTTGTAATACATATTATATATGCATATGAAGTAAATTATAAATTACAGTTTTGAATATAGATAAATATTTTGTATCCCTTTGTTCGAATAAATTGTAACTGGGTGTTTGTAAATCCATATCATGCAACGATAATAAAATGAACGTAATTCTAAATTAAAATCGAAATTAATATACGTAATTTATGTTGTGAGGAATTTGAAAAGCGACAAAAGTATATGTGATGTTTGGTTTATTTCGATATAAAACTGTAAACAGTGAAAGTATCGAGAAATGATAGGGATTGGAACTAAATGGAAAATAATAATAATCGAAATCGGATCGTTGTATTAATTATAGAGATAATGGACAATGGATAACATTACATTTTAATACTACATGGATTATGTTGCCCTCACTCATCGAATTACATACATCTATATGATAATGATGTCTTTCTTTATATATTAACAATATTTTTTTATAAACCTTTGATTAAATTAAAATTAGTCGAATAATGATTACCTTCTCATTAAATGATAATGGGTATTACCAACCGTATAACAACTTCATTCTAATGATTTGATGATATTATGGAAAAAATTTATAAAAGAAACTTCGTATACTTTAACCAAAAAGGAACATTGTGAACGATGACTCGCGGATTGGAATTAAACTTTGCGGGTTTATAGAGTGATTCAAGACAAGAATAACAGTATGTTTCATTCATGCCTGATCGCCCTTTAAGGGTGTGAAAACTAACCCCAAAGTGAAACAAGGATTAAAGTACAAGGGATAGAAACAAATGTTTCGAAAAAAAGTTCAATGGTACAATAAGCCCTATAAACTAGCGTTAATAAAATTTTGAAGTATATTTTTAAAAATTTTTTATAATGTAAAAAGACCTAAAAATATGTATAAATTTCAAAGAATGTGATTTACAGAAAATATATACTATAATCAGTTTGTTGGCTCCTTTGAACCGAACGTATTAAATAAAAAAATAGTTAAAATCCAGTATTTAGAAATAACATTGCATAGAGCATTAAAACATTTAATTGTCGTTAGAAGAAAGGTTTATTTTACCTGAATCTCGTCGGTCTGATCCTCTTCTTTAATTTTAACCGGCGTACAACTCTGTCGAAGTGAACGATTACCTCCATTATCCTCTGGCGACGACGAAAGTGCTTTCTTCGTGGTTTCTTCGAGCCTCTTTACAAACGCGTTAGCCCGTCTATTGTGCATTACGAGATTTCACGCACAAATTCTAAACTGACACCTAGTAAAATTGTAATTGTAAACAAGTTAATTTTATACTACCCACCATAAAGTACCGCGTGTGACTCTCGAATTAATTATTTTCCTTCGATCAGCGATTAAATAGAAACAAATAGTACTTCTTTTAGTGATCTTTGTGATTATCAAGAATCTTAATTTTAATTACGATAGTGATCCTTTAAATGTTCGCAGCTGAGAGTCGTCAATGAGCAATTAGCAAATCCTTAACGAGTTTCAAGAAGATTAATACTCGGATAACCGGAAATAAAATAATCATATTAATCATACGTATTGGATCATTTCTGATAAGTTGTTATATTTCTTTTATATAAGATCCAAAACAAATATGCACACGTAAATTTTGCTTTAGTTGCTACTTTCAATAATGCTCCCAAAAAATAATATTACGACCTGCATAGTAATTGTAGTTCTTCTGAACTGTGACCTCTGTGACTGTTACAGCAAACAATTATTATTATTCGACTGTACATTTTATGCATTTATGGTCATAATTTTATTTTTAATTTCTTAAAAATCTCAATAGAGGAAATAAATTAAATTAATTTCGAAAAATACGAATGAAACTGAGTTTACGGAAAAGGGAATTCGCATAAACATGCGCAGGTTAATTATTATTGAACCATGTTAAAAGTTGTAAATATAAAAAATAGAATACAATTCATAGATAGAGAATAATTTGAAAAATTTAAATAAATCTCAATTTAAAATCATCATAATTTTACCGTATGCAATGTATCCAGGCAACAGTAACGAATAGAAATCGTTGATCAGGCTTTTCCACTCGAAACGGGTATAAATATTCGGATAGGTAATACCGAAGCATCGAGCTGTGCCTAATCAAATTTCACAGATATTTTTAGGCTACTAAGGTAACACAACTTGCGTGAAAATAGATCACATAAATAACTCTGTCTAGTATCTTCGCCTTCTCCGCCGACTTAACAGAAAATTTCTTCTTCTCGGAGAATTGAATTTTACACAATCTCTACCGAATAAATCGTTCGATCCTCAGGAACGGTGGCATTACCGTAACATATTTATTCATTTATAGTTATAATACACATATATTTCGCGACGCTTTGATATTTACTTATTAGTGAACAGAACTCGCATCACTCGAAGAACACAGGGAATCGTAAATGTTACAATAGAAGTGCACTCTTTATGGATCACGTGGTCTGATTTTCTTGTGTGTCTCGAAATATTTATTATTTTTCCAGGTAAAACAAGCGTCGTCGAACGAACTTTGAACGGAGCTTTGATTTCGACACTCGGTATGAACAGAATGTAACAATTGTGGAAGAAGAAAATAATCGATGAAAAAAAAAGGTTATTTGCTTGTGCACTTCTTTCAATGTTCGTTTGTGCCTGTAACGCCGAACTTTTCCGATGGTACAGACACGAAAACCCGAGCAACACTGGTGGTAGGTTCACGGGCATAAAAATATCCGAGTTTGCTACGTTTCAAACGGCTCGCGTTCGTCTAAAGTCGGCGCTGATAAAAACCGACGTGTTACACCTACGAGCGCTCAGAGTAGACTACACGCGAATTCTCGCGGCCTGTTAAATTGAACGTACCACCCGACACTGGAGTTGGATATTATTTAAGAAAAAAATTTAAAAAACAAACAATTATATCTATAATTTTGGACTAATTAATATTGGACATTATTTAAGAAAAATATTTAAAAAACAAACAATTATATCTATCAAATATTACAACATGAGATAAATAGTGACTTTCGAACATTAAGTGTATGTATAAGTACCAGCTACCACGCCAAATTTTGCCATTCAAAAATATTGAGACTTATAATTTTATTTAAATAGAAGAATATGAATGAAATAATTTTTATCGATTTTAGAGAACTTCTTCGATGACGTCATAACAGTTTCTCAATATCTTCATGAAAATGTGAATTTTTACGGGATTTTCTTCTATTGTTGACTGAAATTGATGATACAAAAAGGTCTAAGGAGAACAGTAATACATGGAACAAATGTTCCATGGTTAATACTATGTTGACGTGAATTTCATTTGAAAAATAAAAGAAACTTGCGTGGATTATTTTTTGATTTGCTAAACTTTTGGACCACTGTGAGCATTTCAGTTAGTAATATGATATTATATTATTTTGTCGATGAGGAATTGGACTTTCACTAGAGAAATGACAGAAAATTAGAGAAAATTAAAGAAACTATTATTCAACAATTTTTTTTATTATTTTCTATACTTAAATAAATTATAAGCAAATATTATTTATTATATGGCGATTGTTTTTCATTACTAGATAATCCAATTCTAGAGTCCGATAATTATTTCGATTTTATAGAAGAACAGTTCAGTAATGACACGCGTGCAGTGAATAATTTGAGCTCGTGAGGGTACATCTCACACACACGGGGTCCCTGGCGCCTACACCGAGGGTTCTATGACCCCACGACCTCACCACACGGGGTCTCTGGCGCCTCCAACGGGGGTTCTGTGACCCCACGTTCTCACCGCACGGGGTCACTGGCGCCACCCGTGGGGGTTCTGTGACCCCACGTTCCAGCATACGGAGTCTCTGGCGCCTCCACCGGGGGTTCTATGACCCCACGTCGCAACACACGGGGTCTCTTACGTATATGTTGCCAAATCATGTAATTTTTAGAATATTGATATTAATTTATGAACCAAGATTATGGCTTCACGAGTTTCGAGGCTGTTGATACAAGAATAAATTGAAGTATCATTTTTATTAAGAAAATTAATTACGTGCTTATTATTGTACTTCTTTATACAGATTTCATTAAGAAGAAATAAAGTAATAGGAATTAGGAGGAAGGTAGTGATGGGATTAATGAACAACGCATATGTGCCGTTTTATTGTCGTTTATTTAAACAATTCTAAGGAAATATACAGTTTACAATATAAGATCACAAAGAGACGTACAATTAAAATTATCGTATAACATAATAAGATTGTCAGCATTAATGGAATTTGGATTATTCCATATAAATAGAACTTTGAAACCTTTTTAAGTGTTACAGTGATATTTCGTTGGCCTCCGTAGTAGCGCACTGCGCCGAACGCGGATAGCATGATGTTGTAGTCGCAAGGGAGCAATTGAATCGAATAGACGTATTGTACCGTGGCGCATCGTATCGTATTTCAAACTTTTATATCATTATAATTTATATGTATATATGTATATTCCAATAAACATACGTCAGGTAATATAAGCTTCATTTCATCGAATTGTCTTAAATATAACTGCATAAATATTGTACAATCCTATACTAATTATAGTTGTCTAGTTCAAGACTCTATGGTTCAACATTCGGCTAAATATTGTAATTTATATGCCGCAAATAATTCCCTCCCCTCTAACTTGCAACTCTTCCGTACCGTCTTGCAAGCTTCATAAAGGTTTTATAAGTTTGTCGCCGAAATTTTGATTACCGGTGGCATACGATAGACGTGTGTAATAATCGGCAGTAGTCCTCTGCCGGATTCAATCAGTTGTTACTACATGTGGATTACGGGACAATGAACGGTAGTGAAATGGCTTGCGTCAGTACACGTTTGAAACGTGATCCTTTATTGCTGTTGCTCGTACAAGTCTCGAGCTGGGTCGAATGTTGCTCGTGCAACTGTCGAATTGGGACTGACGCTTGTGCCTGTTCCCGTGAGCAAACTATGTAGTAACCCCAGCAACCATAGCAGTTTCTGCAGACACTACTACAGCCCAAGTTTAACAGACGTAGGCAGTAGTTAGTTTCTGTAGTAACCTGTTGAACTAGACAACTATAATTAGTATAGGATTGTACAATATTTATGCAGTTATATTTAAGACAATTCGATGAAATGAAGCTTATATTACCTGACGTATGTTTATTGGAATATACATATATACATATAAATTATAATGATATAAAAGTTTGAAATACCATACGATGCGCTACGGTACAATACGTCTATTCGATTCAATTGTTCCTTCGCGACTACAACATCATGCTATCTGCGTTCGGCGCAGTGCATTAATACGGAGGCCAACGAAATATCACTGTAACACTTAAAAAGTTTTAAAGTTCCGTTTATATATCATTGTCCTGTGAAAATGTTCATACTTCCAGCAGCATTCATATTCCAATCAAAGAATTTACAGAATAAGGAAAAGGAATCTAAAGTAATTTTCCGTAGTTCCATACATCTTTATCTCGAATA